GTCTTCTGTCATTCATGTTTTCATTAAGAAAGTGGTTTCAGAATAGGTATTAGTTTTGCAACATTTATGTAAAACAAATAATGTGACACTGGAAAGCAATACCACTCACTTAACTTAATGAGTTGCTATGCAATAAGTCAGATCCTCCTAGAGTGTAAATTACACAATTGGAAAGCCACATTCATTATTCAATCTCTCAGTCCCAGACAGGTGCTCACTCAGTGGTAACCCCGGCTTAGCATACCTAATTTAAAGCCATTCACATCTTTTTTTAAAAAAAAAAAACACCTATCACACGTAGCTAAACCACTTGTTCCTCCCCCCTCCCCAACAGTATTAAAACATAAACTCATTATAAATATTTTCCCATTCCACTGAGCTTTGAGCATAAAACATTTATAGTACAAAGCTTCAATGGCAGTGAAGTTCCGTACCATGACCTTGGGCCCGTAACGTAACTGGCTCTGTCATCGGTAGGTGAGCAAGCACAGCACTCATTCAGTGTCGGCTGGGCGGAAGCCAGGACACGCTAAGCTCGCTGCTGGGTCCTGATCCCGGCCGTCCCACCACAAACAGGGCCTTTCCGGGAAAACGGGCCATGAAGGCCTCGCGCTCTGAATGTCGTGTGGCTCTTCTCCGGCAAACACCATCACAGCGTGAGTCTGAGTGTTTGCTGTGGGACGGCCGCCACGGCTGGCTGCTGTGCAGAACACAGCGACCGCTTCAAGGAAGTCTGGGAACGACTTGCTATTGAAGAGCAACACTTGATACCGGGGTTTAAAACATTAACGGCCACACGTATTATTATTTTGTAAACAAGTCTGTGTCTTCGTATTTAAATTTGGACTTTAAGTAAGGATGTCTGCTGGCACAGCCCCGCGGACCAAATGTGCTGATGGTCAGGTTCGTGTGCTCCCATCACTGCAGCACCGTCCAGGGATCCCCCAGGGATTCCCCGGAGGCCCCAGGGCGCCCCGGCAGAGGCCTGTGTGTTCTGGGGAAGCGCACTGGAACGGTGACATCCAAGTAGCCAAGTGCTGGGAGCAAGGAACTGAAGGCGAGGCTTCTCACAGGAAACCGTGTGGGAGTGGGCTTTTAGAGCAAGGAATTGTAAGGAAGCTGGACATAGGCTGTTATTTTCTGAGTAAAGATAACCCTCAAAAAGAGAGGGGCATTTGGACTTTATACTGCTGAAAACAGAAACATGGACATGAAATACTGAATATGAAAGAATACTCTTTCCTATACCACGGAAGTTGTTCTGTATAAACAGGATTGTCTATCTTTCTTTGATCAAGACCTTATTATTGCTGTTGTTGTTGGTTTTCCTTGGAGTAGTAAGTCCAGGGGCTTTTCTTGCTGATCCTAAATTCCCAGAACTGTGTGTAACAACTTATTAGCTTAACTTGAAAGGAAAGTGTTGATTAAAGGAATAAGTGAATGGCTGAATAATGGTCGCATCCAATAGTGATGATTTCCACTAAATCAAGTGAAACAATTACCCAACATGTTTTGAAGATCCCAGTAGAAAAACACATATTAAACAAAGAGATTTTCTTTTAAAAATATGAAAACAGGATAATTTCTGTCAAATAAGTTGCTTATAAAGAAGGCTGCTTCCTAATCAAGTTATTTTCTTTTTGAGTCTGTTAAGCACACTTATTACACTTGGCAATATTGAAATATTTGATTTTCCAGAACTATGACTTTAAAGCCTTTTAAGAAATAAACATGATTATCAACGTGAGTTTACAACAACAGAGAAAGAATCTGACCAATATTTTTTAGGTCTGTGAAAAAAATATAACATTGAAAAAATCACTAAGATTATAATCACGAGCTTGAACACTGACGGTTTTTGGTATTTGCTCATCAGTAGTCACCTTGGCTCCCATGACGACCTATTCACATGAAATACACGAAAGGACTGAAGCTACAACTAGCAGGAGTTTTCGTCTATTTTCAATGATTTTTAACTATTGTAAATCAACTGACCCACATTCCAGTGAAAGTCATTTGTGTAGCAATGTGGAAATCTGGCCTTGGGCGGTGGGGA